TGCTGCTGCCGGCGGGCAGTGAGCCGGGCGGGCCCCGGGGAGGTTCTTCCTCACCAGAGGTTTTGACCACCAGCGCCTCCGCTCCGGGCAGCGCCCTGAGGAGAATCTGCCGTGTTGTCCCCGGGGAGGCGCTGGGTAGTACGTGGTGCTAGCCCTAGGTGGGATTAGTCTGTTGCGTCTGTCCGGTAAATGTGAAAATGGGCGATTTCCAATCGCCTGTGCTCCCGGCTCTGTGTTCCTACGATGTTCTTCCGCGCCGCTCGGGAGGAGTGAAGTGAAGTGAACGCTGTCCCCTTTTCTTTGCTCTGGACCGTGCCCTCCAGATCTCAAGCCCGTGTGGAATAGCATCAAGAAAATACCCATCTTTGCTGTTTAATATAAGTCTAGTTATTTTCAGGTGCAGAAGAATATGCTGTTCTCGATTGGCATTTTTATTTGTGTATCACAGCTTATTTACGATGAAAATGGAATGAGAGCTCTGTGAGTTAATAACCAACGGGTTGTAAAAACAAGTTGTCTTGTGACGTGAAAGGTCTGTGTCCCCATTCTGCAGAAAGCATTTGAAGAAAATATTGCTGGTTTATTATGCCAGGTTACAGCTAGGACAAGTATAGCAAAGACTGGGAGGTACCTGGATACCTGCATGATGGTGGAGCACTTAAATAATTTTCCAATTCAACAAAAAAAGGCAAAAAAAAAACCTCACAACGCCTCCCCACGCACACAGGCATAAAGGGATGAATAGGCGTGAGAATCCCTTGTGGGACTGGCAGTGGTGATTGAAACGGCTGCTAAGGGATAGGAGATGCAGAGGTGGTGCTGTGCCCCTGGCTGATGTTGCAGTGCTTAGACTGCAGTCTTTGCTCATTGCTGCAGCAGCCACGGCAGTTTAGTGTGTGACCGGAAAGCAAGGTTGTTGAGGAATACCCAGCACCAAAAATAGAGAAGATTGTCGGAGTAGGAAATAGCTTGTTTTCCTGTGGAGAGAAAGAATCCAATGGAACAACGTGTGGGGTTGTTTGAAGAGGGGCCCAGGTTGATAAGGCGATTCTGTTGTAGGTTCTGCTTTCTGCTAAAGTAGTGTAAGCCCTGTAGAGCCATTCTAAAGACCTACTATTATAAATTAAATTATCCCCCTTAATTATGTAGCAGTATACCAGGAGAATTATTTGCCTGTGTATGTGGGGGAGGTTTTTCCACTTTCTATAGGGAGGTGAAAATGAGCATTGTGTAACAGCTTAGGCATTTTTCAGGGTATTATGCTCTCTATGACATAAGTATATTAAAAAGGTTTTGGTTTTGTTAATGTTGGTACATTCTTTCAGAGCACAAGGTTACTCACCCAGCAGGTGAAGTCTTCAGTCACTTAAAACCCAAACATACTTGCATTTATCCATAACATTTTTGGGTGTTTAGTAGGGAGTCTGGTGCTGTCGTATACAGCACAGGTACAAATACTGGACTATTTGGTGTGCAGTATCAATAATATCCTAGGTAACCCTGTTTGTTTTGAGATCCTGTTACTGCTTCTGTAGAAATAATAGAAGTTAAGTCCTGAAAGACATAGTGCTATTGAATTTCTCACTGTGCTTAATCTTTGCATGAGGCCCACCTGCACCTTGTTTTCTAGCTGTGCTCATAGACAGAGGAAAGGCAATAATTCCTCTCTTTAATGTTTTCCAGGTTATTCAGAATTAATTCTCATGTCAGCAGAAAACTCAACCATCACAGTCCGTCTTGTTCGCTCTTTTGAACACCGGAACTTCAGACCTTTGGTGTATCATGGAGTTAACTTGGATCAGACAGTAAAGCAGTTCATTACTTTTGTGCGGAAGGGTAAGGGGTGGCTGTCGTATTCATTCGCTTCAGTCCCATGTGTTGCTGCCTCTGCACAAGAAAGTGGAAGGAAGCAAATGAATGGGAATTCTGCGGCTTTGGTAGAGATGCCAGATTTGTATTTACATCCCCTGTGTACTCTCCTCCCTTGGATGAGAGGTCTGGAGTTAATAAGAGCTTCCGTGGTCGGTGTGCCATGCCTAAATTTGGGAAGACTGCTTCCCCTGCCCAAATCCCCATGTTTAGTCAAAAAAAGACGATGGCATGGCTGCATTTGGCTCAGTGCCTCAGGCTCCTTGAGTGGTGCTGTCAGGCAGCTATTCATAAATTAACAGGAATAAATTAATAGAATTTAGAGAGCCTTTGATCCTTAGGAACTACACCAATATGTGGAATGTGGGAACGCAAGTCTGTTTGCTATTTGTGAGGAGAGAGGCTCTTGAAAAATTATTTTTGACACTGTGAGGTCTCACTGTGCATGTTTGCTTCTGAGTTTCTTGTCTCCATCTTGAGCTTTGTGGTGCTAAATGAGTAGATTTACTCATTTATGGGCTTTATGTTTTAGAAGCCTGGGTGAAAGTGACAGTGTATCTAAAAGTTAATTAATGTAGACCAGCCCACGCAGTGACACAGCAGTTAGGGTGTTACCCTAATCTTGCAGGTGCATTTCTACACACCTAAATGGAGACATTCAAAGGGTGCAGAATAACATAATTGGATTTTTTTGCATGAAGTCAGCTTAAACAAGTCTGGAACTGTTACAGCTGATAACATTTGAGCAACTCCTAGGACATTGCCCTGGGCCTCACAGCTGTATTGTGTTTTCAGCAACTTCCATGCTTCTAGACAGTTGATAGGCATGGCAAGATCTTAGGATGCTTTTAGAAAACTACAAGCACTTTCAGAACATATGGTACAGCTGCTGTTATGAAGAATAAAATAAAAAACAATGCTTTTGATGTGTGCAGCACTGCAACTCGCTGTTATTTGAGACAAAGCTAGTGTCTTGAACAAGACTTTTTGGAACCTCATTCCACAGATGGATGGATGGTGCTGTTCCCGGTCCAAAAGGAGCTGTGTTCCCTCCTTTACTATGATCTGTTCTGAAGGGGCAGTTTGAGATAAATTGTTAAACTACTGATGAAATTATGGTTTCAGCTGCCTTGCTGCCGAGCACCCCACAAGTGGCTGGGCCTTCCAAGGCCCTGGTTAAATCCCTGGGTGTCACTGGGAACGCTGACATCAGGGAAGTTGTTCGTGTTCTTGCAGTTGCTTATGGGCTGTGTCCTGCATGTGGCTAAAGAGTTAATTTTCTACAGTTTGGCTTCCTTTTTGTGGCTGGTTCATATGGCTGTGTTTACTGAACAATTCAGTTATGAATGACAGTTGTCAGCTGTTTGTATAAGGTAGAGAGAGATGCTGTGCAAACTATCAACAGGATGTTCCTGGCAGATTTCTGAAGGATCGGACTCCGGTGATCATATCCTAGTTGCATTGACTCACTGTCCTCATGGGTCATTTTGTTCAGAGGGACTTCATGCTCAAGTGAAGTTAATCAGACATGGAGTAACTATAGAATCTAAGCCAAAGGTTGTGTTTTAGTATTTTATGCTCAAACAAGTCTCCTGTGTTGTGGATTTATTTTGATGTAAAGGATGTCCAGGTCGCATGCATAAATTAATGGAAAATAAAATACTGGAAATAAAAAAAAAAAGACAACTTTGTTTTAACTTGGTGCTTTTATTTTAATAGATGTGCCTTCAAGAACAGGACTTCCTCCTCCTTTCAAAAATTACAAGTATGGTATGTAGGTTTTTTTCTTGTTTTAATTCCTGTAAAGTGCAGACATAATATTTTATACCAGTTTCTATACAATTTAGAAGACAACTGCTGTAGAACACTCATGCTGGTGGCAGTGCCTGCCTACATTTGCAACTCTATCCAGCTCTTGTAGCTGGGGTTATGCCACTGGGATCACGTCTAGAGAACCTGACCGTTATTTTGAAGTTCTGTATTAATCTTTGAATTAGGCTGCATACATTATTTGCTAATTGGTACTGATGGTTTTTGGTATTAATTTTTTATTACTTTTATAAGTGCCTTTTAACTCTGGTTTTACTCCAGTGAGCAGCTTGTGATCTCAAACGCTTTGAGATTGTAGTTCTCTATGTGCTTATGTATTTCAGTATCTATTTACTAATTGTGAAGTCAGAAAGGATGGTGAAGTGGGAGCTGAAGGCAGTAAATGGAAGATGCTTAAGACTTGTATACTTAAATAATTTACACGATATAAGAGAAGCAGGGGAACTTTGCTCAAAGTAGATAAGAAAGCTTTTAAATACAAGCTGACGGCATGAAACAGCCTGGTGTGAAATTTAGGCTGACTTTGTCCTCTAAGGTAAAGCTATGTGTATATTTCCTTTTTGTTAAGATTGGCATGAACATATGCAATTCATCTGTTTGGGACAGAACATACTTTCAAACAGACTAAATTACTTCCTTTCTTGGAGTTTGTTAACTCGGATGTCAGTAACGTATCTTTTCCTAAACTTGGCAATTCTGAAAGTTCCCTTGGAGTTTTGCTGCAACTGATCCTCTCTGTCTCCCATGTTCTTGGAGTTGACAAACTCCTTCCTCTGCAGTGATTGAAAGAGTTGAATGAGGAACGTACTTAATACATGTGAATGGTAATAGACTCTATTTGCCTATTTAAAAAAAAAAAAACAAAACCAAGCATTTCATTCTGTGTTCTTGCTGATGGTGAAACAAATTAAGATTTAGGGATTAAGATTTACAATACGTCAGTGGCAAGGACTTGAACATTACTATTATTTTTAATATATTACTTAAGGTCTTAAAATCTAGGTAACTGTAAGTTTGAATTTTGAGGTGCCCTTCCTCCCCCTAATATCTGTGGCTTTGGCTAGATCAGGGGGTCCTATGGAGGACTGCTGCTATCAGTTGTATTCCTGGTGTTGCCTATCTCTACTGCTAGTTCTTTCATCACTTAGAGCATCAGTATAGTTTTTCCCAAGGCATATATTGTGGCTGAGCACCTGATTGTGCTGTGTAGGACTGAGCAAAATGTGGGTGAAAAACACTGCAGAACTTTAAAACCTGTTACACCAGTTAAGTGGGCGCCTACTTTTAGTGGGATGGTGCTAGCTGTGTGGAAATTTTCACACAGAAAAATCAAAGCCAAGTTCCTCACCTTCCCCTCGGGCTGTGAATCATCCAGGTTCATGTTTTTGGCATCTCTTATGTGCTCTACTGTCTTTCTTGTATTTTGGTGATGAAAGGGCAGTGAGGCTTCTGCATGAATAGTGCTAGTTAAGAGTCAGATTTTTCCTTCTGCTTTGTTTGGCAGTGCCAGAAATCTCAGTTGGACTTGGCTGTCTCTCACCTTGTGCCTGTTTCGGCTTCCTTCTCCCCAGAATCCAGCACCACTTTGTTCTCTCAACGTCATATATAATGCCATCACATTTTTCCTCTTGGCTTGGTGCTCTAACTCACACCTCGAAGCTTAAGACTTTCATTTTCTCTTCATTTCTTTGTACACATCATTCTTGTCCTTGTTCTAGAACTCTTATCAGTCAATATTCTCATGTTCCTACCCTGTCATTGCCATCTTTTCACTGATGCCTGGGTGCCAACTTGTCTCATAAGCCGCTTCTCAATTTATTTTTTTTTTCCATGACTGTGGAGCAATGTGGTAGGTACTTCACAGAATCAGACTTAGAAAGTGATTTCTTATCTGTTGCCACAGAAGATCTATTAGCAGAAACGGAAAGGTAAAAATGTGGGAATATGATTGAGTGGGACTAAATTGGGATGAAATAGCAAAGGCAATTGAGAGGACATAAGGCTTTTTAGCTAGGATGTGAGGAGACTGTAGTTTCATCTCTGTAACCGAGTTAGGGCAGCCATTTAATAGCTCAGGTAAAGACACAGTGAACTGCTGGATGCCAGTGGCGGAGTTGTGAAGAAGTAAAATTGAGACAATAGCTCAGAGAATGAGTGGGCAAAGACTAGAGAAAAGGGGATGTTGCAAAGTAGCTGGAGAAGTTTAAAATTAACAGGCAGAGGCTGGATTGTATTTGCTGTGGTAGAAAGGTTTCGTGATTGCAGTGTATTTTTGCTGTGATTGCTTGGTCTTTTTGCAATGCTTCTATGCAAGATGGATCCGGGAACTGCAATTTAATACGTGTCTTGCTTCTAATACTGCAATTAGTACAGCACGCTAAGACTGCCTTTTCAGTGACCTCTGCAGTGGGAATACAGAGTACTTTTGACCTTCTGTAATGTTTTAAATAAAATGTTCAAAATGGGCCAGAGTGGTATGGAAGCAAACTTCTGAATGGGAGTGGGATCTCTTATTCTGAACATCTGAATACTTGCTCTTGGTAGTCTGAAAGTCGTTTTAGCCTATATTTAACTTTCTTGCATCCTTCTCTTACCAGACTATTTCAACAGGTAGTGTTCAGTTAATGCACAAAACCAAACTAGAGCAGAAAATGAGCAGGCAAACCGAACCGTTTTTTGCTTCTTTGTTGGGAAGGGATTGATGTGTTATTCTGAATTTGTTCAAACTCGGAGGCTTTGGAGTTTGGTGGTTTGTTTTTTGGGGTTTTTTTAGTGCTGCATGGGCATCTTCTGACTTCCATTCCCTCTGGATCTTTGCACTCATCTGGTTGCTTTAGTGACCGCATTATTTTCCCCAGTTTTTCCCTTCTGTTAACAAAGCCCTGCCCACACTGACAGAGGAAAGCGGTATTTCTTTTTTTGTATAGCATAATTTCTTACAGTGCTACACTGCACAAACATATCAGAGATAAATATTACTGAATAGGGTATAGCATTAAAAAGAGGAGAGGCTGTACGTGTTCATGGAAAATGGACTTGCTTAACAAAATTTCTACATGGGTGCTTTCTTCATGAGAAGGGAAATTTCAAGGAATGACCTCAAGTGGCCAGGTTACTGTGTCTTAATCACTTGCTGCCTATCAACTTTAGTAGTTGACCGTGCATAAATGCTGTTTGTCCTGTCCCAATTGCAGGGGCAATGTAAAACCTGTTAGGTTAAAACACCCTAACTGGCATTTAAATTGATGGTTTTTGACTGGTGATTGGGATGGTCATTAGTTAGTTATTGTAAGTCAGCCAGCAGACAGAAGCTCAATAGTATGTAGTATCTTAATGTTGGATTGACTGGTTTAAGACTGTGGCTGCAGGACTGGGAAATTAAGATGTTTTCTCCTCTTTTAGACTGAATACACAAAATTCGTGTTAATAAAAGATTTCAAACCTTACCCCTTTGTTTGTTCCTCCTTCCCCAAGTACAGCTTTCAGTGTTACCTGCTTATTGAGTGGTATTATTATTCCTTATTTTAGGAAAACATTGTATTTTCTTTCAGATACAATGAAGATTATTCACCAAGCACACAAATCTAAGGTACGATTATTAGCTGTATTCTTCCCCTTTTGCATGCTTTAATGCAGGCAGATCTCTGCACTGTCAAACAAGGCTGGGGCAGAGACAGTCAGAAGATTCTTATTCTTATCTTCGTATTCTGGTTCTCTGATTTGTAGACTGGTGAACTTGTAGTGAGTTTGGAAGATGATGACAAACTGATTTTGAAAGAAGACAGTACGCTAAAAGCAGCTGGAGTAGGTAAGAGTACATTTGTATTGACTGAAGGTGCTGTTCATTGTGGTTGTCATTAAACTGATAACTGGCTGATTATGTTTGGATAGCCTGCTGAAAAGTAAATGCTATTCCTGATGCTCTTTACACTACTTGATAATTATTCAGGGAAGAAGGGGGGATAACGTACATTCAAATCATTGGACTGAGGGCAGCAGGTATCTGCACTCCAAGTGTTCAGAATGCAAATTGTGATTTTTAGAGAGTATGCTTATAATTCTGCTGAGAGTAATTTTAAATGATTGACAGGTAGGTTATTAGTACCGTGTCTGCTTAGTCTTATCAGTAACATTTAAACTGATGTTTTGGTTAGAAATGTAAGTAGTGGAACCAGTGTGGAATAATGAAATAAGATTAGATTTGTTTAATGTGCAGCATACAGTGCTTGATAGCCAGATTGCTCAGGAAAGCTCAAGGAGTATCATTTAGAGAATGTGCTGAACATAGCAAAGAGTTGAAACTTGACCTGATTTCTCACATTTTGACAGGGGACTACATATAGGGCATGTCTTTTGGTAATAATGTAAAGAAATGTCTGTCATGATAAAATTGATGGTCCCTGGATGTCCTTTGGGCTTCTCATAAATGTGGCTGAATGACTTTGTGGCAGCAGGGTACTTAAGGGATGTAGTTGCATTCCACCTTGGTATGGACATTCGCTCATTTGAATCCGATTTGCCTAGCTGGAGTGCATAACTACCTGCGCTTTAAGTGCAGGGGTGTTGGAGAGAAAGCTCCCTCCTGTTCCTGATGCCCTCTGATTGCTCCCCAGCTAGTGAATGGGATTTCTTTCTCATAGTTTTTTTGGCTCTTTTGTTTCTTGCCATTTACTTTCTGGTTTTAAGTGACTTGGGATGTCTCTTTAATGTTTTTCTCTGGGGTGCACTGCAACTGGCCTCAGTACACCTTTCCTAAAGGTCTTTGGGTGTTCCTATGATACGAATGATAGCTATTCTCTGGCTGTTTGTACTAAACCAGGTCTTTTTATTTGGAGGGGGAAAAAAAAAAAGTTTCCTCAGAAAGGAGGATTACTGGCAGTCAAGTCTTATAGATTTGTAATTTAGTTAGCAGAAGATTCATTTAAGCATGATTTTTATCTACCTGAGGCATAAGAGGCAATGCAGTTCGGGAGAGGGACTGATGACAGTGCTGAATGTTGAACTAGAAACAGCATTGTCCAGAGCTGCCTTCTTTCAAAAAGGTATTGATAAATATATATATATTTTTATATATATATAATCCATCTTTGAAACTAGGTTTGTAGCTACAGCAGTGAAACAGTTGGATGTGATCTCGAAAAAGGTGTCAAAACATCAGAGTAAACGTTACAGTGAAAGGAAATTGGAATAGACTAGCCTGTTCTGTGTCTCTGTACAAAGAGAGGGGTGGCTTATTCAGGGCAGAAAACAATTTAAAGCTGCTTTTAATTTTTGTCAGAATAACTAGCAGCAGTTAGTCATTAGTATGTCGTGGGTATTTGTGATAGAAAAGAAAAACTCTTGCTTTGTAAAATGCAGCGTGCCATTATACCATTTTGAATTTTGATATGTTCCAGCGTATCTTGATATGAAAATTAGGTAAGTTAAGAGTGGGGTCTTTGTAGTAAAATCTTGAAGAAGTCCTCCTTCTTCAACAAGAACTGGAAAAGAGTGGACGAAGGAAGTATGATAGCATATACCACTAGTCCTCATCTTGTACAGTTTAATTTAAATCACTAAGAAGACTTGAAATCTCTTATTGACATATTATATTTTTCCAATATCTAGTCTGGACAAGATTTAGTAGAATAGAACAGAGACTTGCCGTTAGAAAATCTGGGAAATTCTGAGACACGCAGAACACTTTTTCTAAGCTGCAGTTGATTGCCCTTGGCACTTTACAGGGTTGGGCTAGAGAGTTATAAATGATGAGGGCATTAGATAAGTATCCTCAGGAAAGCCTCTGAGGTAGTGATTATTATTACAGCTATTATCTAGTCAGCAAAGTTAATGCTTGCTTGTTGTTTTTAAGAGCATGGTGTATGTTAATAGTGTTCAGTATTCATTGCAAACAGTCCTGTCTGTTTTCTAGTTGAAATGCTAAAACCCCTTCTGCTCTTTTTTTTTTTCCTTCTTTTTTACAAGACAGGCAGACTTCATTAACTTCAGGTTTAATTTAAAAAACAAATGTGGAACTTATTGGCTCAGCACCTTAAAGAATTCCAAGTTTAATAATTGTGAAGGCTTTCCATCAGATTTGTCTCTGTTCTGAATTAGTAATGTTGCTGACTTATTGTTTTAGAAGACGAAGTCCTTGACCTACTGGGTTGAAAGAATTGTGACTGCTCTGAACCTTTGTGGGTCCTTTAGCTCTGCCATATCCCCTGTGAATAATTAGAGGTATTTGAAGGTATTGCTGGAGAAGCCAATTTGTGTCTTTCACTTTGCATACTGTTGAAGCCTCATGAATTAATCATCAGCAGGGCAAAAAATTAAGTTCTTCAGACACATATTTTGATGGGTCATGAGGGAGAATGTAAAGTGATCTGTAAAATATTCTACTGATCCTCTAAGTATTAAATTATTATACCTACAGGCTAATTTAATGGAAAAAGTAATTTCTTTTTCCCTTTCCTAACAGCAAAATGCACACAAAGAAAGAGGAAATCATGCTTCATTATTTTTCTAGCATTTGAAGGCGTTAGAAATGCAATCACTTAATTTGCTGAATGCTTATACAAACAATTCTGAAGGCTGTGTTAAACAGATCTTGAGGGGTCTTGTGTACTAATTTACTTCTATATATTCAGGTTCTTGCTTGTTTTTTTTTTTTTTTAAACAAGGTTAAATGACATCTTTAATACTGGAATCTTTTTTGCAAAAATAAGGGGGGGGAAGTGTGTGGTGGTTTATAATTGTCTTTGACCAAAAAGTTGCCAATTGTCTTCTAAGATTCTAAATAGCTGTCTGTTGGGTGGTTCATTTACTGGTGTGCTAAATATTTAATTTTTTATTCATTCTAGCAAATGAGACCGAATTAGCATTCTTCTGCGAGGAGGATTACAGAAACTACAAAGCTAATCCTGTTTCGGCCTGGTGAAGATCCCAAGAGATTGTTTTGTTTTCCCATACCTGTTGTAAATTTTCCTTATTCCGCTTAATGAGATTTTTCTTAAAGATCAATAAATCCTAGAGGATTGCTATGCAAACAGTGCAATTCCCTTCCTATAGAAATTAATTTCTGTCAATATGCTAAGACTGAGAGAAGGAAAACTGGGGGACATAAATGACTCTCTCGCATTTCTTTTTCCTTTGCTTGCCTCTTACGATGCAGGCAGTGCAATCTCTGACCTGTGAGACACATTCTTGGTGTGATCCTACAGCAGACATTAGCTACATACGGAGATTATACAATGCACAGCAAGATCCCATCACAGTTCTAACTTCTAATGAAAATGGAAGCGTTTTATGACCAAATCACTGGGTATTTTAGAGAGTTTGAGAAGAGAATCTCTCTGTTTCAAGTCATAGCTTTGCTTCTCTCATTTTATGTTTGGTCTCTTTTGTTTCAATGGTGCAGACTGGCAAGTGTTTCATGCTCTTCACTGGTGAATGCTTTCCTTTATACTCTCTTCCAGCCCTCTTTAGCATGCTGAAAGGGACAAATGACTGTTGGGAGGCTTTTGTGTTCAAGGACCAGCCTGCCTGTTGCTAGCTTTACTGCATGGAGACACCTTCATGTATGGGGTAGCAACCTGAGTTCTGCCAGGACATCAGTGTGCATAAGTAGGAATCGGGCATTTTTCCAAATGGAGTGAAGCTCACGGTTTCGGTTTTAAGAATAAAACCTGAACGATTGCATTTTTGCACGGAGAGGCCCAGTCTGCAAGCCACATGTCTTCAAGACTGGAATTGATTCTTTCCTGCTTTCCAAGAGCCAAATACTCTGTTGCTATATGTTAGTTCTTGGTAATTCCAGGCTTTCCTACTACATTAACCAAATCAAAAATAAGAAAAAATAATCATGCATCCAGTAATGTACCTTTAGATAGACACTGCTTATGAAACTGCTTTTTAGGGGTTACCAAGGTAGGACACTGTGCCTTTAAGTCTCTCTTCACTGAAATAGAAGTGATGCTGGCTCTCTGCCTTAGCAGGCTTTTTGGGCAGAGGCTCTGCTAAATCAAATGAAACCTCATGTGCAGTTGCTTTAGACCCACACATCTACCCTCAGCTCTGGGTGAGAGCTGACAACACCATTTCCACTAGAGACTTTCCAGAGAAGCAAGCTTACCATTTCCTAGAGCTTTGATGATTTTTTTTTAATTGACATGTGATAGTGAAACACATGTGTGATTTCCAAAGTATCTAAATAAAAGTTCTCTTACTTTAGATGTAGGGCCAAAGAAACCTCTATATATTGTTCCCACCTCATTTTCTTCATCCTTCCTGACAAGTCTCTGGTTTAGGCTGGTTTCAGTAGCTGGTGTTACTCACCAACAGCTTTGCTTCAGAGTTTTATTCTCTTGCAAAAGTAGTCTACCACTTTGTCATCTGTGATTAAAAGGGTGGTTGTATCTTTGTCTCATGAGGAGGAGTCTTGTGTCACTGAAGTCACCTGTGTTCTCTTGGGATTTAGATGCTGTTACGCATGCTCTGATGAATTTGTGCAGGGAACTTACCACTTGCCTCCTCTTTCTGTCCAGGCCGCCTTTCTGTTGCTGGTATCTGCTCCCCAAACATGGGCCTGGGTCTCAGCTACCTTCTTACGCAGTCTGTCATGTTTGCCAGATTAATCTGGCTAATATGAATTTGTACCTGTCTTCACAGACAGTTTATGCTAATGCATTGCACTCCAGAGTACACCAGCTTTGTTCAGCCAAATTTACAATAATGAAGGTAACTTTGTAAGAAGTAGATGGCGTACCGGAGAGATCAATGTCTCAGACTGTCCTACCAAGGCATCTAGATGATGTCCATCAGCACAGTCAGGCTCTCAGACTGAGCAAACACTGTCATTCTCTTCCTCCTGTTTTGGGGATTCGAATTTGCTCTCCAGCCCTTTCAGACAGATTTGGATTGTTTTTGTGATCTGTTTTCTCTAAGGCATTTGCGTTTGAAAGAGTCACCAAATTTTAACAATTGTCCTTTCTGGGCTAGTACAGTTACAAACGTTCAGTGCCACATCGAGTGTGGCGCAGTGAAAGAGCAATTCTACAGCATCAACTAGAAAGTGGTAAATGTTTTAATGCAAATATTCAAGAATGATGTGTCTGGCACTCCAGATTAGCTTCTCTTTCCAAGGGAAGAGTTAAACTACTGCTTTGTGGCTCTGTTCGCTCTGGCAATGGCACTTCATTGGCTCCTTTATGCAGCAGCACAATAGAGCTTTTTGTAATGCTCTCAGTGACCACACTTGTAAACTGGATTCTTCCTGAAGTGTTTTTCTACTGTGTTTTTTTTCACTGGACCTTTAATAATGCTTCTTTCAAATAAACCCACAAAACCACAGATAATAACTGAGAACTTGTTAAGATAGGTGCTGTTCCAACATTTTTTGGTGGGGTATGGTGTAGCCTTGTGTCAAAGTAGGTTTGATTCCAGGGTCATTGAGTACTGAATGAAATCTGTGAACACTAGCTAATAAATTGCTAAAGACATGTCTTTGCCCATGTTGTTATGAAATCCTCTTTCTACTGAAGGAAACCACCTACAGAGTTGGTACCATGGTTTGTTATCCTGGCAGAGGTCATGAACTGCATCGGTTTACAATTACTGTTAGTCAAAGGTGGCTTCTCCATAATGTGTAGTGGGGAAATCATACAGCTTTGCCTAGTGTTCTTAGACATCGTGGGGTTAATAAGGATTCATCTTTCAGTAGATGTCATTGGAGCCTTTCACTAGCCTTTTTTTTTTTTTTTAAAACAAAAAGAACAGCATCCAGAGTGGACACTGAAGTAAGATGCAACTTTTTGTGGGTTATTGCACTGTAGCAGGGAAAGGCAGTCAAACTGGAAGCCGGGGGGAGGGGGGGGCTTGGGTGTTTCTTGGAGAAAGAAAATAACTTCAGAGAGACTGGAGTTTTTGTTAGGAGGTGTGGAAGAATAGCTACTGAAGGAGAAGAGAGGAAATGAGGAAAGGAATTACCATGAAGAGGAAGAAGAGGTAACAGTGTCACTGAATAAGCACACAAAATCTTGACTGTACAACACTCTTGGCACAGAAATACTGGAGTAGTGCTGCTTTTTATACCACTAAAGGTGTGAAAATGGTGCATTTTAATAATTTTTGGAATTGAACTCATAAACTGCTGGAATAGGCATCTTGGTTTTTTGTGGCTCTGTCGTTATATTTTCTGCGTGCAGCAGTTTTTCTGTATTTTTCTGTTCAGGGGTAGTTATGTTGCCTCTTGAAGAAGCAAGAGCTAAGAAAACTGCTGACATGGATAGCTGAGTTGAATGTTTACAGTTACCAATGGCATAAATGAGTCCTCAAAGATCTGATATGCACTACTGTTAAAGTTGGGGAACTGCTTTATCAGATGTAAACTTTCTGTCTTAGAGGTGATCCAGAGATAAATTGTAAGCTGCAGTGTTTCTCTTTCACTCCCTGGGAGTATTCAACACATCCCCTGACAGATCATTTACTTAAAAGCGAGCTTGCAAGGAACAGTCCAAGAGTTACCACAGCCGTGACAGGACATCCGTGGGTCCTGTCCTTGCAAGCAAATAGCCACAGAAATCCTGAGTGTCCAGAGATCAAGAGTCAGAAAACGGAACATGCGATACTCATTCTTGGTCTCATATGACTGATAGGATCCTGGCTTCAGAGGAACTTCAGCCGGCTGCAGGCATTACAAACGCTTAAGGCGAGGGCACACTTTTGCTTATTGAACAGTTTGGACTGAGCTCAGTCTTGCTGGTTGGCACCCGATCCTCCTTCCTTGACTTTCTTTTCGAAGTACTACTTGACACAGATTTGCAAGTGATTAATGCATCAAACAACGATGCCCAGAAGACAATTTTACTACTTTTCATATTATCAGGACGTTGACTTTTTCCTACTGCCTACTTTCCTATTGAATTAGAGAAACAGACACACCTTTGCATGTTTTCCCTGTCACTTCCCTTTGCTTCTTGCTGCCACCTCTGCTGATTTGCAGTGCTTTAATGGTTAGGTTTACACCTCATCTGATATGCAACAGCAGCATTTCCTGTGGCAGTGACTGTACGTTGTTTTTTTTTTTTTTAATTCATGAAGAAATATGCTTTGAAATAAAGAGGAGACTTTTTCTACACTGTTACTAATAGTGCACAACAAAGGATCCTTTGTTGCTTTACAGGAGGGCTTGCATAGGACAGCACTGTCCACTGGTCAGTGGACACAAAAATGTTTTTATCATAATGCTTTGTATCTTGGAAGGAAACGAGAGAAGTTTCGTTTGCATCGGGAATGCAAAAAAAATGCAGTGAAAAGCCTAGACCTATTGCCATAAACTGCAGAGAAAGCCACCAGATGTCAGCACAGCCTGTTCTTTCATTCTCCAGAACCTGTGTAAGCCAAGAAATATGTAATGTTTATGAGAAGTGCTTATCTGTGAATTGGTTTAGCCTGCAAAGTCTGTATTAGGGTTCTGGTAATGAAAGCTGAATCCTTCCTTGCAGAAAGTATTTCTTTTTATATTAAAATCAAAAAGCGGCAAATTGAACTGGTATCAGTGCTTAAATTCCTCTTGTTAGAGAGCATCCTTTGCGGAGCCAGTTCCAGCGTATCTAAATCTTTGCATGCTGTGAGGAGTCATTTGCAGAACATTCATTTGAAGAATTGTCTGCCAAAGATCAGTGTTAATTTGCTGAGGTTTTGTAAAGTAGACTTTAAGTATGCCTATTTTTTTTAAACACAAGGAAAACCACCCAGAACAGACACACATGCAAAGCAGAGTAAAACATCTTCAGCAACACAGCTTAAACACACAACAAATGTATCCTCCATGCTTCTGACCCTAAGCTCCTACTATTTCTTCCTTGTAGGGCAAGGGCTGAGGAGAAACCTGGCACTGCGTTCCCTGGGCCACGCTTTCTGAGCTGTGATGAGCTGAGATG